ATATTTATAAGTTATTAAGTTAAGTTTAATATTTAAAATGTAATTGTTAATAATTCCAGTAATTTTGTAATGGCAATCAATTGCAATATTATATTTGAAACAATTCTGAATGTCAAACAACTATAATTCGTATTTTCGTAAAAACTATTCTGCAAATCTTTATTAAATAAGGAAGCATAATAATCGCATCCACCTGCCTATTGTACAGGTAGAAATTCGGCATAATAGCATCAGTACGAGATTCGCGTAATTTACATTCTCTACAAAGTTGCGGCATGTACGCGATACACGCGTCGCACGTAACAATATGTATGTATACATCTGTCCTACGCATGAATTCGCGAATGTACAGACGTAATCGGAATCCATGAAGCTGCGGAGCAAAGCACGGAGTAGAGAGGTCGTTGCACCTCGCGGTGCACAATCAGGAGAGAAATACAACTCGTACACAAACGCCAGCTGTCACAGCTAGACAGCGATTCCCCACACGCAGTTAACAAAAGGTGAATCAGGTATGAAAATCAAATCGAATTTCAAGAGCTTAAATCGCCGAATTACCGGCTTTGCTATTTATTTAATTAATTTTTAAGAAAAGCAAAATTAATATTTTCATGTACTGCTAAAATTATTTTGTTATTAATTTACTACTATTTTTTAAATTCTGTTTATCAATTTTAATATCAGCTATATAAACAGAAATTTATTGTAGCGAAATTTCACTGTTTGCCTCAGAACATGGATCGATGCTGAATAATTAATGGGCAGGATCCAATGGGTATCGAGGCGGAACGTTGCTCTTCCATTGTGGTATAATCGAATTCGCCGAATTTGGAACGAACACGACGAATGAACAATGGACTTAGTATTCTCAGTAAAGACTGTTAGATTCCAACAAAACGTATGATTTTAGGAACAGATTATTCGGCGAAATCGAAATCATTTATTAATTTTGCCGATTTACAGAGGAAATTGTCCCGGAAGTATTTTCGAATAAGAGAGTTTGAAACAAATTCTTGGTTCTATTCTCTTGTTAACAATCACATTATAAAATAATATGTTATAAAAGTGTACAAGTCGTTTTTCTTCTCGCGTATTTAAAATTTAAGATTTTAACATTGCTGTAACCATTGGGTACATTCAGAATGAGAATCGCTCACGTGAACGTTCAGTGAAGTCTTTCATCTGATTGATTCTATATTTTAGGATTTAACAGAATATGCTAATCAGGTGAAAGAGTTCACTGAGCGTTTAGTGAACGATTATCGCTCTAAATGCATCCATCGCAAGTCTAAAATAATCACATATTACTACTTTAATAAATTCATGATATTTTTATTGAAAAGTCATTCCTAAATAAGTCAGAATGAGATAATATAAAACATCAAATTGAAATCCTCTCCAAAAAAAAAGTAAATAAATAAATTTTCAATTTTAGAAGAGATATACGGCATATCTTTTATGTTCACTATCTTTCATATATGTGTATATTTTTAGCACGAGATGTTACGACTCTTAAGAAGATAAGCTATCGATACGATAAAACAAGAAATATAATTATTTATTATTGTTAATAACTATCTATTTTATTTTTACATTTCTCGATACAGATACTTGAAATTGCAGAAATCAGAATATCTGTACACGACACGCTATAATTTGTTTGTCGTTAGGACAATTCAAGAGAACAAGGAAAACGTTCTATATCTGTAAGCAGCTGTTTCAACAACATTTCTAATGTTTGCGACACATCGGGCACCGTTAGCGTCAGTGAAAGTGCATTGCGAGACCATGCGAGATCATGCGAGATCTTTCGAGAGCAGGTAAACGTTCGAATCTAAGACTGATCGTGTGAAACTATCTTCCATCTTCATACATAAGACTATGAAGACGAGCGAGAAGTCACACGCGTATACGAATTTCTTTTACGAAATATGCAGTCCCGTCTTCATCGTGAATCGCTCGAAAGAATCTGCAGTCCGCGCGCGAAAGTTTCGCGCGTAAAACACTGCTACGCGCGCATGAAAATTTCCTGGCGATCCGCCAGATAAATAGAGGGACCTCGAAATAGCAAGAAGATCTACACGTTCCTATACGGACCGTCCACGCGCCGAATGAAGCGTCTATTTTCCGTGCGGCGTGGTGCCAGGTCGAAGTTGCAGGTCGAACCTGCAGCGGAGACGGCGATTTTCCTAATATTAGAAACTACCACTTCCTCCGTGTGCTGAAATTTATCGTTATCAATTAATCTCTCGTGACCTAAAATCGTACATTTTTCAAACGTGAATTAGATCAGTCGAGAAATTTAGGCACGTTTTATTACGCCGGTCAGCATCGTCACGATTAGTTTCTGACTCAAATGAAGGGAATTAAAATGAGAGCAAGTTGTCAATGATAATCAAACACGTGCCGTTGATTAATAAAATAAGTATATTTTGGTAAATTAAAGTAAATGTTAAATCTGTTTTATTCACTTTGCTTCAAGATTTTTCAAAAGATCGCGTAAAATTACAAACTAATTTTTATTCGCTTCAAGATTTTTCTAAGATTGTGTGAAATTGTGAACATTTTATTTTCTTCATTTTTTGTAAAATCCGAGATTAAAAAAAAAATTCGTAAAATTACGAATTAATATTTGTTGATTTTTCAAAGAATTTATGAAATAATGAACTGATATTTCATTTACTTTAGGATTTTTCAAAAGAGCAATAAAAATTATAGACTCCAATATGACTCGTTATTATCGTTACAGACTCGACAAATAGCTCTGCCAGAGTTAATGTGAGAACTGAAATTTTCACATAAAACAGTCGCTTGCGTCAGAGTCGGTTTTTCTTGAATAATTTAACGCGCAACGGAAGTCGCAAAATTTATTCGGTAGACGCGCGATGTAAACGGAAAATGAGCAAACATAATTTTAAACGCAGTTCGCGGATAAAGAAGTAAAGCGGCGAAAAAAGATAATTAGACATTTTGCGACGTGTTCGCAGGGAATTTTTCATGGGAGATGCAACAGTTAATATACTCGACGTCGCTTTAATACTCATGTGGTTGCTGCTCCAAATGGACGTTTAAATTAATAGTGTATGAGTAACCCTTACGCCCACACAACATATATACACACGCAAATGGATAAGCGTGTACCTTCTCTTCTATCTAATAGTATATAAAAGGCGAGCGTTGCAATGATGAAAAAAAAAAGTAAGAAAAGCACGAGGCAGATGCAAAATAATAATTACCTATTAATGAAACCGTAGCCACTCTTGACATTGAACCATTTCACAGTTCCGGTCACTTTGTTAGCTGAAATAAAAAAAAAAGGTTTCATGATATATGCGACACATGTGCTGCACATGCAATTGTATAAATTCAGAACAAAATTCAGGGAATGATCAACTCATATAATTTTCGTTGGGCGTTTCAAAACATTGTGGTATGATTTATAAAAAAAATCAAAATAATGTATAATCGTGTAAAAAGAAACCTCTAGAATATTCGAATCGCGTGCATGAATAATGAGTCAGAGAAATGTTGCCTGTATTCTGTGTACTTATTGTTATTATTAAATTGTGAAAGCGACCTTGAGAAGGAAATAACGTGCTTAACCGCAGGTACATATCACGTGTTTACGAACACGTAAGCATGCTTGAGGACAAAATATAACGGATACCGTTTTTATATATATGATGAAGAGTATTTCTGGGAATAATGCGTCAGAAATCAAGGAAAATCAAGTAAAGATACGATTGAAAGAAAAGTAATTTGATTAGGCGGACGATGATGTATGAGTGATTAACGTTCATTTTACCAATGTAGATTAATCTCGGTTTAGTTTATTCTCTATCTTTTTCTAATTCTTAAAATTAGCAGAAGATAAAGAATAAATTAATAAAATAGAAAAAGATAAAGAACTAATCGTAAGAATAAATTATAAGATATGCAACAGTAAGTTAAATCGAGGTTAAAGTTAATCTACAACGGACGTACTTTAAATTTCTCACAATCTAATATCTCAGTCTTTAAATAAATATATCTTTAAAGTTTAAGAAAATATAAAATCGTTCGGAGTCTTGGATTTTTTTAATTCGTATAAAAATATATATTCCGAGGATAGCGTATATTATTATATGTACACCGCGAGGGATCTTGCGTTTCAACGAAAATATGATAAGACTATCTTCATAACAGTTACACGCGACCTTGTCACGCAGTATAACCCAAACAAAGGTCGAAATTAATGTCATCAACGATAGATCAGCCTGACGAAATTCCTCACATTCTGAAAATCTGAGTAATATTCTTCAAATAACGATCAGTCAGGTGAAGTGTTCGCGGAATTTATTTTAAAGACATCACTTTATCTCAACAATCTTAAGAAATGAATACAATTTAGAACGTAATTATATATGACGGCTTAATTAGATATTACAAAAGCACGAATACAGTCTAAGTATAAAAATTTTAATGAGATATAAATTGACACATTAAAAGCATAATTCTATATAGTTAGTTTCTAGACGTTTCCAAGGTAAACTTTACTCATAAAATTTCCAGAATGATTAACAAACTTTTTCAATAAACTTTTGAACATTCTCGACTAAATTTTATCCTTAACAATTTCAGAACAATAAAAAGTGTGATTGTATTTTACTAAATCTTTTAATAAATTTTAACGAGACATACAGATTAATGATATAACAATTTTCAAACATTTCTGATTTATTCTTTCAAATTTAATATTTAACAATTCCTCGCTTCAGGAATTAAAACAGACGCGCGATTAAATACATTCTATCAAATTTCGTTATTCTGATAACGAAAAAATAAATTTCAAATTCTGATGAAACGTTTATATATAGATACAATATCATTTTAGAGATATTTGTCGATATTAGACATTTCTTGAAATAAATAAATTCAAATTCTATCTTTAACAATTCTTTTCTCGCTTTGATAACAAAAAGATGCGACTGAAAATATTTTCCGAAATCTCGTTATAAATTTTGATGAATTTTGATAAAACGTGTACATATAGATTAATTACACAATTTTAGAGAAATTTGTAGAAACTGAAGAGATTTCTGGAAATAAACTTAAATTTACATTTGATCTTTGACGATCTCTTATTCTAAGACGAGAATATTTAAACGATATATTCTATTGAATGTCGGAATTCCGGAATAAGTGTGAGATTTTTCCAGAATTTTCCCTAACATTATTCGAATTCCGGTAGATTTCGAAATAGCGTGAGCGTCTTCACGTGGTGAAAAAAATGCGTGA